TGCAATTGCAATGTCACGTCGCGGGTCAGAGCAATCCGGCCTTCCAAGCTCCGCCAGAGACAACGCTAGACGTCCGCGAGTCGCGGGATCGGTATTGTTATCTGGAGGGTAACAGGGCCCCCACGCACAGGAGATACGCCAGTCTTCCGGTGGAGGAATCTCGCGTGACTTACAACCAGTCCTCAAGATACGAATACATAGAGCAGGACGAGGCGGAGAGGAATCAGTTACCGCGCAGGAACTCGTCGAGGTATGAGTTCATTCCACAGCAGCAGGTGCAACAACGTTCCGCGCCAGCAACCAACCAAGACGATCGAGGAGGGCCGCAGACGCGGACATGTCGTAGCAATGCCGGTAGATATGCTGTTATACCGGGTGATCAAGATTATCAAGAAAACAACTCGCAATGGAGTAATGCAAAATCGCCATCTCGACATATCAACACTCCGCAGGGTAATTCAACTTTTAACTTTAGTTTCAGAAATATAAGAGCCTTTCTTCATGTTTATCATCGTGTTTGTCATTATTTGTCATTATTACCTTATTGGATCACATTTCAAAAGTTATTACAAAAAATATATAAAATTCATAGATTTCATTATTACATCTTTGAGTATCTATATAAATTTTGAATACAATTTTTTTATTAATTTTAAAATTATTTAATTTTATTGTTTATTTTATTATTTAATTTATTTTTTCTTAATTCCTATGTAAAATTTCATATTGCAGTATTTACTTAAGAATTTGAGAAGAAAGTAGTATTAAATTAAATTTCTTTATGTATTATAAAATTCTAATAAACATTTATTCGAATCCACTTACTTATTTAAAAGAATTATTTATTTAAAACTACAACAAAATATGATAGTCGTTGAGCTGCATAAGCCAAACTATTTGTTTAATTTTTTGCAATTGATTTCAAAGGGTATTTACGATTAAAACTGGTTTTTTTGACTAATTTCTTGACTGATACTTTTAGCTAATATTATACAGTCAAAATATTTTTAATAAAAATTATTCGATTATTTGATATAAATTATTAATATATTATTACATATGAATTATTATTCAAATTTGTACAATTTGCAACAGGTCGTTACGTCAGAGTACCTTTGCAAGAAGAGATTCCGCCGGCACTTCCGGAGAGAAACATGCAAGAACTCTCGATGTCACCGAAGAATAATTTAGCTACTCAGAAATTACACGAAATATTATCTACACCCAGAAAACCGAGATCCAGATCCGAAGAGAGAACACTATCACCGAAGAGGCAACAATCATTCAATCAAATCAGCACACCGCAACGAAGGGCACTTACTCCTGGCGGATCTCCGGATGGTCCGACATTTATTATTGCATTGTCCTCTTCGATCCTCATAATATGATAATAAATAATCTTTTTACGACACGATAATAAATAAATATTATATAAATTAAACTTTGATTCAATTCGTCAGAAGACAGAGAGTAACAAAATTTTAGAGAAATATGCTTAAAAATTAAAAATATATAATTTCTTCAGATATCATACTTTCATAAGTTGTTAATCATATTTCATATTAATTAATTTTTAAAATAAAAATTTTTTTTTCTGTTACTTTTATTAGGTCGCACTTTTCCAACTCGCACAACTCCTCAAAACACACCTCAGCGAGTCTTCTCGCCTATAGGACCTCAGACTTCGACACCTAATAAGGAATCATCAGCTCGCAGATGTCTTCCTCTGCTGGAGAATTCGTCCCGACAGCAGGATCTTTGTCCAGCCAATAATTGTGGTCGGCTTCGTTATGTTGGCACTGCCCCAGTTGATTTAATGAATATGAGTCATGAGCCGCCACCTCGCTATGCTTATACAGAAAACGGCCTCGAGTCCATGCCGATGATGTCCGGATCGCCCAAATATCAGATGGTACCCGCTGATAAGAAAAATTATCAAAGTGTAGAAAGCGCATTTTTAGCTCGAACCGCTGTCGTAAGTGATACTAAACAGATAATGATACAATAGAGATAAAAAAAAAATCATTAGTTTAACAAAGATTTTCTCGTATTAGGTACCACCATTATCTCCACCAAATAGCGACGCGAATACGACTCTGGCGAGCGGCATGGAAAAAAGTGATAGAAAGAGCGCACCAATACTTCTCATATTAGTCGGTCTCCTCACATGCGGCCTTGCCTTGTACCTATCCTGGTCGCAAGGAAGAAGGTATAAAAGATTTTTTTCTGATTTTAATAAATTAACTCTTGAAAATTTAAAATAAACTTATTAAAGAGTATTAATGAGAATTGAGCGCAAAAAAGTGCATAAAGATACGTAAACTTGAAATATAAATTTCAAAGATAATAATAATCTTCAATATAATACTTTCTGATGTTTTATCTTATAAGTACTTATTATTTTTTAAAAAGAGAACTTTTCGAATAAAAATTCTGATGTTTGATATCAGTTTTATTCAAATAGAACAATAATTAGAACATTTTAGAAGCATGTGTTTTATATACATAAATAATTTTATAATCGACATTTTTAATAGAACATTGTTATTTTTAGATATTACTTTGACAGTGCAGTCGGTTGCGGTGCCTGCTGCGCTTTAGCAGGCGCATGCAGAAGTCTGCGAAGGACCTGGACAGGACTCGGCTTAGCTGGACTATCAGCATTGAGCTGTGCTGGTCTTTTGCTACTTGCAGCTAAATCTCCAAAGGACGGTACACCTCTTCACGACATCACTGCCGGCGCCTTGTGCGGTGTGTCGGTTTTAGGAGCTGCTCTAGCTTTGTTGGCTCTTCTGAAACCAAAATGCAATCTTGGACGTCATAGACGAGTACATTCTTGGATACCACGATTCTCTCCTTAAGCCCTAATTCTGACGACTGTTAAATATAACACAATAACCATATTTACTTTAAAATTGTTCTTATGAAAGAGGATATGTAAAAATGCTACTATAAGGTAGTTTAATCATATATAAATTCTTGCCACATATCTATTATAATTAAAAAATATCATTTTATATAAATATCAAGATGAAATAAGTTATTCAAAGAGTATCTATTAAGAGTACACTTCAAGAAGTTGTGCTGCAAATGGAAAAACATATGACATTTTCCCAAAAATGTTCATTGAAGTTAATAAATTTTCCTCTCATCTTAAAAATTTAAAAATTGATCTTCTGTTCATTCAAATTATATATATATATAT